CATAAAGAGACAAATGCAGTCATGATATTAGAATTGACCCCAGGGTTTGCCCCACCCTTGCAGACTTAACCCCTGGGTCATAACTTTGAAACGGTTGAGATCCCCACCCCAAAACTATATATACAAATGCTGGGCAAAAAGAGACAAATGCAGTCATGATATTAGAATTGATCCTGGGGTCTGGCCACAACCATAGGGACCTAGTTTCTGAGTCACAGATTGGAAACAGTTGAGATCCCCACCCCATAACCATACATAAAATTGCTGGGCATGAAAAATCGAATACAGATATATATGCTACAAGGATTGGCCTTGGGGTCTGGCATATTCCCATGGATCTCATTTGGAGAATATTCTGTCATGATTGCTTAGATAATCCAGGTGAGCGATACAGGCCCTATGGGCCTCTTGTTTTTCAAAAAGTGATTTCCCCAGATTTGGGACTTGTGAAAACCATGGTTACCACATCAAAAAACACCAAAATATGCAAAAAATCATGGTTTTTAACGCAGAATTTGACCCCCGCAAGTAGAATTGTTTTTCTTAAAACCTGTCTGAAATTAAATATTGCCTACTCGGTAACAGAAATACTCACGTTTTAGCATAGGTCCTTCCGGTGGATTTTTCACAATATTTACACATGTGCTGAGTACAAAAATAGATTACATGAAAAGCTAGCTTTTGTTGTGTAGACACAGATTTGTAAATACCCAAAATTGTAGTCTCAAACCAAAAATGATTATTTTTTTTCGAAAAATTATGAAGCTCACATAGTCCACTTCATCATGCATATGCTAATTTTAGTGCTGATTTTTTTTGGTAAATTTTGATACATGTTATATTACAGGGGTTATTAATTGTATAAAAACACGCCCATGGCTACCGTACGCTACTGTACTCTGCTACCTATGGTATGGGGTTGGCCAGCCGGCCAGCTAGCCGGCCGGCGTAAACTTTTGTTTGTCCGGCAATGTCCTCCTACATTTTTCGACCGATCTCTTTGAAACTTGGTATACATTATAATCATGATATGAAGTTGTGTCGTGCTTAAAAGAAAATTGATTCAACAATTTTTTGCAAAATTTATTGCCCTTTGTTTATTTCAGTATTTGATTTTTGTCCGGCAATCTCCTCCTACATTTTTCAACGGATCTCGTTGAAACTTGGTATACATTATAATCATGATATGTAGATGTGTCTCCCTTAAAAGAATTTTGATTCACGATTTTTTTTCAAAAGTTATTGCCCTTTGTTCATTTAAGTATTTGATTTTTTGTCCAGAAATCTCCTCCTACATTTTTTGATGGATTTCTTTGAAACTTAGATGGCTAAATAATCATGAAATGCTTTTGTGTTTCCTTGAAAAGAATTTTGATTCAGCAATTTTTGCAAAAGTTATTGCCCGTCGTTCATTTCAGTATTTGATTTTTTGTCCAGACATCTCCTCCTACATTTTTGACGGATTTCTTTGAAACTTAGAAGGCTAAATAATCATGATATGCTGTTGTGTTTCCTTGAAAAGAATTTTGATTCAACAATTTTTGCAAAAGTTATTGCCCTTTGTTTATTTCAGTGTTTGATTTTTGTCCAGAAATCTCCTCCTACATTTTTCAACGGATCTCTTTGAAACTTTGTATACATTATATTCATAATATGAAGTTGTGTCTCACTTAAAAGAATTTTGATTCAACGATTTTTGCAAAAGTTATTGCCCTTTGTTCATTTCAGTATTTGTCCAGAGATTCTCCTACATTTTTTATAGCATGTCAGCTTACCACTCTTAGAATGATGCAGATCTTATTTCAATGTAAGAAAGTATATAACACTATATGGCATTCGACGGGCGTATATTGTTCCCTCCCGCGGTACTCTTGTCGTCTTTCTGATAGACTTTTGTTGATGATGTAACGATGTAATTTCACTATTATCTGTGATGTGTTGAAGTTTAACCCTCAAATTTGGTTCAGAAATGAAAATATGAAAATTTGAAGCCATGAAATAACAAGTCTGCAAGTCATAGGAGTTTTTGATTGATTTTAAATGCCATTGAAACCCTTTGCTTTGTTACAGCTGATCCTTATGTTTGCTACTGACGCCGAGTTCTCCAACACCATAAGGTTACTGCTGGCTTCTCTAAGTGATAAAACACTGCTGCTGTACCAGCAAGGTAGGACATTGTTATCCATTCTGTATTCACTGTACCAGCAAGGTAGGACATTGTTATCCCTTCTGTATTCACTGTACCAGCAAGGTAGGACATAGTTATCCATTCCGTATTCACTGTATCAGCAAGGTTGGACATTGTTATCCATCCTGTATTCACTGTACCAGCAAGGTAGGACATTGTCATCCATCCCGTATTCACTGTACCAGCAAGGTAAGACATTGTTATCCACTCCATATTCACTGTACCAACAAGGTTGGACATTGTTATCCACTCCATATTCACTGTACCAGCAAGGTAGGACATTGTTATCCACTCCATATTCACTCTACCAGCAAGGTAGGACATTGTTATCCATTCCTTATTCACTGTACCAGCAAGGTAAGACATTGTCATCCATCCCGTATTCACTGTACCAGCAAGGTAGGACATTGTTATCCACTCCATATTCACTGTACCAGCTAGGTAGGACATTGTTATGCACTCCATATTCACTCTACCAGCAAGGTAGGACATTGTTATGCACTCCATATTCACTGCACCAGTAAGGTAGGACATTGTTATCCACTCCGTATTCACTGTACCAGCAAGGTATGACATTGTTATGCACTCCATATTCACTGTACCAGCAAGGAAGGACATTGTTATGCACTCCATATTCACTGCACCAGTAAGGTAGGACATTTTTATCCACTCCGTATTCACTGTACCAGCAAGGTAGGACAGTGTTATCCACTCCCTATTCACTGTACCAGCAAGGTAGGACATTGTTATACACTCCGTATTCACTGTACCAGCAAGGTAGGACATTGTTATCCATTCCGTATTCACTGTACCAGCAAGGTAGGACATTGTTATACACTCCGTATTCACTGTACCAGCAAGGTAGGACATTGTTATGCACTCCATATTCACTGTACCAGCAAGGTAGGACATTGTTATCCACTCCTTATTCACTGTACCAGCAAGGTAAATAATTATCTAAGATACACAGGTCAAAAAGACAATTATTTAGAAAAATTACTTCTTGGGAAAATAAGTATACATTTCTACCATCCCCACTGTACACATTTATCTAGCTCCAGTTCATCAAGTGTCTTTTACAATTTGAAAATTAGCATAGTGTGTGAGTTGATAAATATGATAACCAATGAGTTTGAGTGCCTTTTTCTCCTGTAAGGTTAATGTTATATGTAGAATACAGTTTGTTTTTCTTGGGAATACTTATACATCATTCCTTTTTCGGATCTGGGAAACAATTGCCATGAGTAATGACGTCAAGGTGGAAGATGACGTCGCAAAGCAGGGTTACTTGACGTCATAATTAGAATATTGACCAATGAAATCATGTCCAGGGTGTTATGCTGTAATGGGTAACCAAAATGTTTACCAACTGTTAGCAGGTTTATCCAATGAGGAATCCTGTAGTGGTTGTGGGTGAAATACCATTCTGTATGTACGTACTTATGATTGTATTCCTGTTTCAGGTGTCCATAACTATACAGATGTTATAGAAGCTTTCATGGGATTTATGGCTCAGGTAGGATGATGCACATTGTTTGTTTTCTTTCCTTTGTGAAAATATAAAGAAAAAAACATCTGTTCAATTTTATGCCATTACCATGATTATTATAATTTATATACAATAAAGTCTTGTTGAACTGCCACCATTCAGCTATATTTTGGTGTTAGTTACAAAGAGGTTTGGGGATATATGTGTATCCAGGGAGACTTGCACAGGAATTGTGGACCTTAAAATATGTCGGCGGTAAGCAATGTGGCAGATGAAACAAGCAGCCCTATATAAAGGTTTTGATGTACATTTGTGTTAGCAATTACCAGGTATACCAAATACGTGTAATTGTCTACAATGCAGATTTCTGGCTGCAATATCGTAACACATTCTGTTAATCATTAGGTTTATATGGGATGTTATAATACCTTGTATACAGAGTTTCACATTATTTTCATTTAATCCCAGCTTCAATATTTTACAGGTTTTAAAGAAAAATAGGCAATTAGTTTTCGATGGTACATGCAGCATTCCAGGTCTGTTTCATGCAGGTAGGTTTTAAAATTAACCAAAAGTGGTTAGTCTAATTTGGAAATAAAGAAAAATGAAAAGACAGTTTTACCTAATTTACAGCCCATTTTGTTACAAGTTTCTGGCTGTTTTGGTTAATAATAGCTGTCTATTAAATTTCTGCATAATTCATACATGTATTTCATGTGCTGTAAACTGTTATATTTACATCTGTGAAATGTTTGCCATTTGGTCTTCTGCAATCTCCTACATATACTTAACTAAACTGCTTACTCTGGATAGAACTTATTCTTCCCTATGCCAAACTCATCCAAGGGCAAAAGGAAAATAAAGGGGAGTGGTATATAATTTTTTTCATTTTACAAAAGTTGTGAAGATCATAATTGTAATTCATCATATTCTTATGTTGTTCTCTATTCAGGAATCCAGGCCATATGTTTACCAGAACACACCACTGTGAAGTCTGCCTGTTCTTTTCTGGTCAGTTGATATAGAGTTAAAACTCTTTGGTAGATAATTGAGAAGAGTTACTTGGTAGAAGATGCTCAAGACATGTAGTAGATATTCAGAACTGACTTTCACCCATTGATACTTGTGATTACAAGTATACTGAACTATAATTTTATCTATTTCATTATTTTATAAACATGTGTCTGTAACTGTTTTTTGAGAGAAGAAAGTCTTGAGTACTAAATCATCAAATACTAATACTGTAGTATGTTCAAGTGTATACAAATGGTAATATATAATTTACAGCACTGCGTTAAAAGTTTCAGCTTATTTTGTAGAATGAGTTTATTAGCAATGCACCAGAGTGTCCAGCAATGAAGCAGGTGGTGGAAACAGAAGGACACATCCTCATGGACAAAGTTCTCAGGGTAAGTCAGGGTTACGTCCTTGGGACAAAGTCCTCGGGGTAAGTCAGGGCCACATCCTCATGGACAAAGTTCTCAGGGTAAGTCAGGGCCATGTCCTTATGGACAAAGTTCTAAGTGTAAGTCAGGGCCACATCCTCATGGACAAAGTTCTCAGGGTAAGTCAGGGCCATGTCCTTGTGGACAAAGTTATCAGGGTAAGTCAGGGCCACACCCTCATGGACAAAGTTCTCAGTGTAAGTCAGGGCCATGTCCTCATGGACAAAGTTCTCAGGGTAAGTCAGGGTTACGTCCTTGGGACAAAGTTCTAAGTGTAAGTCAAGGTAACGTCCTTGGGACAAAGTTCTCAGTGTAAGTCAGGGCCACATTCTCTTGGACAAAGTTCTCAGGGTAAGTCAGGGCCAGGTCCTCATGGTCAAAGTTCTCAGGGTAAGTCAGGGCCATGTCCTTGTGGACAAAGTTATCAGGGTTAGTCAGGGCCATGTCCTTGTGGACAAAGTTCTCAGTGTAAGTCAGGGCCATGTCCTTGTGGACAAAGTTCTCAGTGTAAGTCAGTGCCATGTCCTTATGGACAAAGTTCTAAGTGTAAGTCAGGGCCACATCCTCATGGACAAAGTTCTCAGTGTAAGTCAGGGCCATGTCCTCATGGGCAAAGTTCTAAGTGTAAGTCAGGGCTATGTCCTTATGGACAAAGTTCTCAGTGTAAGTCAGGGCCATGTCCTCATGGACAAAGTTCTAAGTGTAAGTCAGGGCCAGGTCCTCATGGACAAAGTTCTCAGGGTAAGTCAGGGCCATGTCGTCATGGACAAAGTTCTCAGTGTAAGTCAGGGCCATGTCCTTGTGGACAAAGTTCTCAGTGTAAGTCAGGGCCACATCCTCATGGGCAAAGTTCCAAGTGTAAGTCAGGGCCATGTCGTCATGGACAAAGTTCTCAGGGTAAGTCAGGGCCATGTCCTCATGGACAAAGTTCTCAGTGTAAGTCAGGGCAATGTCGTCATGGACAAAGTTCTCAGGGTAAGTCAGGGCCATGTCGTCATGGAAAAAGTTCTCGGGGTAAGTCAGGGTTACCTCCTTGGAACAAAGTTCTCAGGGTAAGTCAGGGCCATGTCCTTTCGGACAAAGTTATCAGGGTAAGTCAGGGTCATGTCCTTGTGGACAAAGTTCTCAGGGTGATTCAGGGCCATGTCCGTGTGGACAAAGTTCTCAGGGTAAGTCAGGGCCAGGTTCTCAAGGACAAGTCCTCGGGGTAAATCAGGGCCACGTCCTCATTGACAAAAGTTCTCAGTGTAGGTCAGGGATACATACTATGGCAAAGTCCTCATGGACAAAATACTCGGGTAAGTCAGGGCCATTTTCTTATTGACAAAGTTGTCTGGAAAGACAGGACCTTGTCCTCATGGACAAGTTGCTCAGGGTAGGGCACAGAACCACGTCCTAATGGACAAAATTCTTAGGATAAGTCAGGGCTGTGTCATCATTGACAAATATGTCTGAATGGACAAATCTAAAGGTCAGTCAGAGTGAGGTCCTCATGGACAAAGATGTTAGGGTTAATCAGGGCAACATCCTTATGGATAAAATGTTCAGGTTTAGTCAGATTTGTTCCCCCCCACAAACAGAATTCTATGGGAAATTCTGGTCATGTCACATCAACAATTCCTCATTGTAAATCAAGGACAAATCAAGGACATGTTCTCGTAGACAAAGTTCTCATGGTTAATAATTGCCACATCCTTGTTGACAAAGTTCTAAAGGTATATCAGGGCCATGTACTAATGGAAAAGTTCTACGAGTAAGTCAGGACCATGTCCTCAGGGACAAAATTCTCAGAATAACAAGGGACATTCCCTCATCAACAAAGATGTGACAGGTACTTTTAAGTGAAGATACATGTACAGTGTATTTAAGCGAAGAAACTGATTAAATAAAGTTGGAAAACCACATTCAAGTATAAAAAGTATGGAATGCAGCAATGCAAGCCATCTTTCTGGTTCATAAATGACTGCCTAAATTTGCACACTGTAAATACATTGAAAACCTAAAGAAAGAAAGTTTCCACATGTGAAAATATACACATTTAAAGTAACTCTTTTGTCATTAAAGTGCAACAGTCATATTTGTAACAGGTTATAGGTGGTTAAAGATCACAGATTGTGATATCATGGTTTTGTCTTTTTCAGTCTGTAGGTGGTGAAAGGTCACAGATTGCAAAATATCATCATTTCTTTTTCCAGTCCATAGGTGGTGAAAGGTCACAGGTTGTGATAAATCATTGTTTTATTTGTTCCAGGCTATAGGTGGTGAAGGGTCACGAGGTGTAATAGAGCACATAGCTGACATTGTCTTCACACTCAGCAAGCACTTCCGACAGAACCTGAATAAGTGGCTTAATGAGATGGTTGATCGAGATGGATATCCCTCAATTAGAGTGTCCAAAACTGAAAAGGAAAACTTCGTTAAGAATATAGGAAGGTTAGTAAAGATATATGTACTTTCTGTTGACAGTGAGATTCTGTCCTTAGCGACCAACAACATGTCCTGTGTGACTGTTAATACAGATACCAGTAGAACGACACAAATAGTTTAAGAATCTGACCCGCATTTGATTTACAGTGAATCCTGCTGATGATAAAATCAGTTTTGTTTATTTCAGTGTCATATATCACAACTACCTATGATACATTAAAATGGAAGGGATCAATCATCTTTAATGTAAACATATTTTTAGCCCACCATCATCTGATGGTGGGCTATTCAAATCACCCTGCGTCCGTGGTCCGTCCTTAAACAATTTTTGTTATCGGTATTTCGAGAAGTACAAGAGGGATCTTTCTCAAATTTTATATGTAGGTTCCCCTTGGTCCTTAGCTGTGCAGGGCAACTTTTGCGACTGATCGGATAAACAACATGGCCGACAGGCAGCCATCTTGGATTTTGATAGTGCAAGTTTGTTATCGCTATTTCTCAAGAAGCACCAGAGGTATCTTTCTCAAATTTTATATGTAGGTTCCCCTTTGTCCTAAGCTGTGCAGGATGCCGACAGGCAGCCATCTTGGATTTTGATAGTGAAAGTTTGTTATCGCTATTTCTCAAGAAGTAGTAGAGGGATCTTCCTCAAATTTTATATGTAGGTTCCCCTTTGTCCTAAGCTGTGCAGGCTGCCGACAGGCAGCCATCTTGGATTTTGATAGTGAATGTTTGTTATCGCTATTTCTCGGGAAGTACGGGAGGGATCTTTCTCAAATTTTATATGTAGGTTCCCCTTGATCCCTCGTTGTGCTTGTTATATTTTGAGACTGATCATAAAAACAAAATGGATTAAAAGAAGAACTAAACAGATCTTTCTCATATTGCAATGATCGATTCTATTTCTTTCACATTAAGTACTGTACTAGTAAATATGTGAAATGACAAACTCACAGATGAAGATGGTACAAAGGTGGGCGCCAAGATCCCTCTGGGATCTCTTGTTTATAAAAAAATGATATTGTTAAAACAGTAAAAATGTGAAATGATGTACCCCAGTAATTTTATAAAAGTATATTAACCCAAATTATTAGATTTTAGTCAAGAGAGCTGGTGTTTTGGACAGCCTCTACTTAACAAGATTTCTGCATATGGCACCATAACATTAAAATGTTTTCTGCTACATTCATTGTATTTAAATGTTGTTTTCCTATTAGAATATCTTTTGTAATAATTATAAAAAGAAATTCTAGTTAAATGTGGTAGTATAATAAAGGTTTCCTAGGGTTGGGGAGAGCTCTTCTAATGAAGTCTGCTTAAAGTTTTTAGCTCATTTGCCCTTTCGTCCGTTGTCAATCGTCCATCCGTCAACTTTTCCTTTAAAACGCTACTTGTCCTGAACGGCCAAGTAGATTTCGACTAAATTTGGTCTGGAGCATCCTTAGGCTAAGGGGACTCAATTTTGTATAAACAGTGGGTTTGGACCCCTGGGGGCAGAGGAGCAGGGCCAAATAGGGGAAATTGAGGCAAAACCTTTAAAATCCTTCTTCTACCGTAGGGATTAAGGGATTTTATCCTTATTTGGTCTGGAGCATCCTTAGGCAAAAGGCACTCAATTTTGTATAAACGGTGGGTGTGGACCCCCTGGCCAGAGGGTTGGGGCCAAATAGGGGGAACCGAGGTAAAACCTTTTAAATCCTTCTTATACGGTAAGGATAAAGGGATTTTCTCCTAGGTCTAGACCATTCTTTGGCTAAGGGGACTCAATTTTGTATAAACAGTAGGTGTGGCCCTCCTAGGGACAAAGGGGTGGGACCCAATAGGGGAAATAGAGGTAAAACAATTTGGCTATATTGCTAAAAACGACTTCTTCTGTAGAACTATGCACTGGATATCAATCATATTTAATCAAAAGCATTCATGGGAGGCGGGGATTCAAAATTGTACAAATAGTGAGCTGCCCCCCCCCCCTTGCAGACTTAACCCCTTGGTCATAACTTTGAAATGGTTGAGATCCCCACCCCAAAACTATATATACAAATGCTAGGCATAAAGAGAGGAATACATTCATGATATTAGAATTGATCCTGTGGTCTGACCACAACCCTAGGGACCTAGTTTCTGAGTCACAGCTTGGAAACAGTTGAGATTCCCACCCCATAACCATGCATAAAATTGCTGGGCATGAAAAAATCTAATACAGATATGCTGCAAGGATTGGCTCTGGGCTCTGGCCTTTTTCCTTGGATTTCATTTGGAGAATATTTTGCCATGATATTGCTTAGATATCCAGGTGAGCGATACACGCCTTCTGGGCCTCTTGTTTTCATTAGACAATAAATATTAATGACGAATTGCGACAATAAATATACGTGATTGTTATTTCAGGGAGAGAATGAATAAGAGGAAGGTACGAGAACTGATCAAAGAGTTCACACTGAAATGCCGCGGCCTGTTCGGAACTGAATACGTTGCTCAGGCTGCAGCAATGCTATGACAGAGAACCAGTTCTACGAACCGTTGTTGTTAACCTATAGACTTTGGGCAAAGAAAACCTGTTTAATGGCAGATACCAGAGTATACAGTGTTGTAAACTAAATGTAGACTTTGGACAAGGTTAAGGGAAGATATACCTCGCCTTGTTACATATACAAGCAATAATGTTGACCCTGTAATTGGACACGTTTTTGAGAATCAACGGAGACTACCTGGTAATAAGGAAATGATGTGTAAACTCCTGGATAAGTTAGATCTTGTTTTCATTAGATCTTTTAAAGCAAGTTATAGTGTGTGAGATTTGTCACAAGGGATTCTAGTGTGTAAGGTTTATTGTAGTGGGTTGTAGTGTGTGTGATTTATTGTAGTGGGTTCTTGTGTATGAGATCTGAGATTTGTCACAAGTGATTCTGTTGTGTAAAATTTGTCGTAGCAGGCTCTATTATTTGATCTTTTGTAGCAGGTTCTAGTCTGTGATATTTGTCTAACAGGTTCTAGTCTGTGAGATTTGTCTAACAGGTTCTATTCTGTGAGATTTGTTTAACAGGTTCTTGTGCCAGGGATCTGTTATACATGATTTCATCAAAGGAGTATGTCTCTCAACAAACATAAAATAATGAAACATTTAAAACCATGGTCATATAGGTCGGAGATTTCTTTTAAATCCACCCTTTTCCCGGTGTAAGATATCCTTGTCTCACCCTAGGGTTGAGACAGGGGCATTCCCCTATTCCTAAAAATTGTATGAAGTCACATCAACAATATAATGACATCACATCAACAATGCATCAACGTCACGTCAACCCTGCATTTAGCATGTAACGTTAACATTACATTATGTTTATGATACAGAATGGGTGAACAGGGTACAAGACAAAGAATCATTCACACCCTTGTGGTGAGATTGGGATCCTCAACTCTCTCGGAAAGATTCTTAAGTTGCCATACACTCTGCAAAGCCTCGTGTTTTGCAACTAAAGAATCTTGCCCCTCGGTTTGAGATTCCCCATATTTCACCCTCAAGGGGGTTAGAGGTTCTATTAATACGGCATACACTTTAATCTTACAAAGGATATGATTTATATATTCACCACAAATAGTGATTTGGGATAAGGATTTTCAGTCAGGACATTCAGAATTTCATTGCAGGAATGAAGCTTTCCTCATCCATTACTCAAACTTTATGAACATAGATAAATAATCAATATTTTGTTTTCTCCTTTAAAAAGAAGGCATTTTGGTGTGACTGACTTAGGGCTACTCCTATAAAATATCTATCCCTTCCCATGACTCTAGGGTTTTTAAAGGGGAACCACCCATAGAAAATGCCAAGAATGCATCTGTCACTAATAGAGATTTAATCAATATTTTGCATAGAGTAATTGGCAGGAAACCCATACATGGATAAAAATGGTTTATTTTGGGAGTCCTGGGGTTGGGTATATTTTCAATGTGTATAATCTTTTTCGGTTTTGTTGTTTTCCAGTCTCAAATATGATGCAGTTTTCCATTATGTTGTTGACATGAAAATGTTACGCATTACGTCTTTCTTGGGATATCTCTAGCCTACAGACACTGATTTTAACATGTTTCCTTCAGAAGCTCTTGTTACAGGCAATGAAGTTCCTGTCTAGTTTCAAAAAGTGTTTGCTGCAATGGAAAGCAAGTTAAATGTTGATATGTGATAAATACAATGTATCTCTAAACTAGTATTGGTATGGTAACTATGAATCTCCGTTATAGAAACAGTTCTAGATAAAATGTGGAATCACCTTTATTGAAGGTAAAATATCCATAATGTGCCATGCTGATATGCAAGTATTGTTTCAGATATTGGTCACAACCTATTGTTGATTTAAATAACTGATAGATCAGTCTATGATATTGTCTTTTTGTCTCTCCATGTACAATTGTACTTTGATACAAGTATAACAACATATGTTACAATAGTTTTATACAAATGTTTCTCATTATAAAATGCACCACATTGACAAATACACAAGATTGGAATTTGTTCCTGAATTTTTATTGGTTTACGGAGGAGGAACTATGTAGTGACAGGTGTTTTTGACCTGCACTGTAGTGAGAGTTGTTTGCATGTTTGTTTGATTTGTACTGTAGGAATTGTTTGTGACTTGTACTAAAATTGAAATGTGATTTTTGACAGATGATGTCATACCATTGTATAAATTGTAATAGAATATGTTTGCCTATTCAGTCATTGGTTAGATATTTGTGAGAATTATTTTTCTGACAGAATTAGGTTTACTGTAAGATTAAAATATCATGTATCAATTTAAGGGAGTATAATTACTGTCGATAATGCTCAGGACATGCATGAAATTTTAGGAAGATTAAGATTACCAGCAGGTAAAGTTATTTTAAAGGTGATGAATTAACCTTTCTCCACTGTAGACCTTAATAGACTCATCCAGGTCAATGCATGCTAGAGTCTACTAGAGTTACATAGGGGTGAAAGAGTTAAAGATTACCAGCAGGTGAAGGTATTTCAAAGGCAATTGATAAAAGATTACCGGTTGGTGATTTTTGTTTATCTATTTTCTGGAAGATCATTATTAGAAAGTGACCAGGAGTATCTTCTATGATTTGAAAGAATATTATACTGATGAATACTTCCATCTGATGGCATATGATTGTATTATAGGTTAGTGCTATCCCTTTGGATCCATTGTGATAAATATTAAGTGCTAAGCAGATGGTTGTATAACTTCACCCAAGTCATTCAATATTGAATTGCCAAGACACGTTTGTACGCATTTTTGTCAAAATATTTCTATATAAATAGTTGAAAGATGTGATAATATTGAATGATAATGATATTTATTTGAATGTGATGTGTATGTTATACAAATTTATTTGCTTTTAAAAATGTCACAAATATTGCCGACTGAATTTGAAGTGATTTAATTTGTATATAAGTACTAGGATATCAAAATCAGAGAAGCATACATCTGTTGTGTGGCCACATTGTGAAAAATGAGGAAATATCATCAAGGTAAAATTCATTATATTCTGTAATCCCTTTGCTTATAAATGCATGATTGTTAGGGTGAATTTAAGCATTACTTACTCTGCGATCATACAGTGTACTGTTCCTTTGATGTTGCTTTATTAAGGTTTTACATCAACTGATCTGTTCTCTATCGTTTACCCCTCCTGAACTGTTTCCTCTTTTTGAATTCTTTAATGAAGACAACTATTGGACCCCTTGTATCTACATTCAGATGGTAAAGATGATAAAAATACATAAAACACATAGAGAAATATCACAACAGCAATTGGTTGAAGACTCCCTTCCTCCCACTCAGGATTGCCTGCAGTAACATTAGTAGTGATGTAGCTACTATAGAGTATGACATAAGTCCAGTGTTAGCGTGTTATCAGATTCTGGTATGGTGTAGCATTTTCTCTGATTCACAGAGAACTCCATATTGGTTTATCTGTACAAAATAGCACTGTGTCACTCATCAAGTCATTTTCTCTTTAAAAAACCATAAACAAAACATCTGTTGTTGAGGCGTTTTATGATTATTTAGCACCCATCACAACACTTAAGTAGTAAATACACCACTTTCATGTACAGAGAGAGAGAGACAGTACAGCAAGAGAAAACGGCATGCCAATTTGTCATTGATTTTTGTACAGTTTTATTTGTATGTGATATAATGTGTGTCTTAATGAGTGAATACATTCACTTTAAATATTATGTTTTTCTAAACCACAATGCACAAGTCCCTGTGATTACCATAGTCACTGATGGGAGCACAAATCCCTGACTTACATAGTTACCATTAGGAGTGAGCGTGTGAAACCCTTAATATTGTTTTCATTTGAAACATGTGTAGCCAAGGATAGTGCCTGAAGAACCAGTGTGTTGACATGGATGTTGGATCTGTTTGAGATATTGTTACCAGAGATACTGGATCTGTGTTCAAACGAGTGGCATACCATGGATACTGGGACTGTGATCATAGAATTACCACAGGAAATGGCTCTGTGAGAGTGTCAACATGGATACAAGTTCTGTGTGGGACAACTGTACCCATTAATACAGGGTATGTATTAGATGAGTGTAGCCATGTATACAGGGACTGTGTGAGACAAGTGTAGCCATGGATAAAGGGTATGTATTAGATGAGTGTAGCGATGGATACAGGGACTGTGTGAGACGAGTGTAGCCATGGATACAGGGACTGTGTGAGACAAGTGTAGCCATGGATAAAGGGTATGTATTAGACGAGTGTAGCCATGGATACAGGGAATGTGTGACACAAGTGTAGCCATGGATAAAGGGTTTGTATTAGACGAGTGTAGCCATGGATACAGGGACTGTGTGAGACAACTATACCCATTAATACAGGGTATGTGCTAGACGAGTGTAGCCATGGATACAGGGACTGTGTGAGACAAGTGTAGCCATGGATAAAGGGTATGTATTAGATGAGTGTAGCCATGGATACAGGGACTGTGTGAGACCAAGTGTAGCCATGGATGAAGGGTATGTATTAGACGAGTGTAGCCATGGGTACAGGGACTGTGTGAGACAAGTATAGCCATGGACACAGGGTTGTGTGGGACAAAGTGTAGCAATGGATACAGGAATAGTGTGAGACAAGTGTAGCCATGGATACAGTGTCTGTGAGACAACTAGCCATGGAGACTGGGTCTGTGTGAGACAAGTGAAGCCATGGATACAGGGTACGTGTGAGACAAATGTTGCCATGGTTACAGGGTCTGTGTGACAATTGTGACCATGGATACAGGGTTTGGTGACAAAAGGATAGCCATGAGTAAATACCTGGTCTGTGCGAGACAAGTGTAGCCATTAATGTAGGGCCCCTGTGAGACAAGTAATTCCATGAAAACTATGGCTGAGTAAGTGGAATATGTAAATTAAACACTATTGGAGGGTTACCTGTGGTTATGAAACCATCATAATCTCGGTTTGTGAGAGTGTTAGTGATAATATATTGAATCCAAAATTTCATTGAATTAAACATCATTAAAAAAATTAAGTGTTGAATTTTATTTCCTCTTCTTCAAACACCGGTACCTCTTCTTCAAACACTGGTACAGGGTTGATGTGAGGCATTCAGACTGAAGGTATATACTGCTTTATTGTAAAATAGTACAAATCTGTTAATTTAAGTTGGTTGTCTGGACAATGTTAATCACCCTTTGACCTGGTGTTGTTTCCAAAGTAGAGAGAAAGAGATTCAAACACAGCATTCCATCCGACATGTTCTTGAACTGTGAGAAAACAATGTTTGCAGTTTCAGACCACCATTTCTCTACACAGCAGTATGCTATGTATGAAGGGACCATGCGGTCATGTTGCGGCATCTGTAGCCTAGAGTCATGATATTTGGTAAGAGCCTGACAAAATTTGAGAACAAAAACGATCTTGACCTACTTTCAAGGTCACAGGGGGCAAATGTGTCAAACTCTCCAAACTACTTCTTTTGAAGAACTGTAAGGTATAGAATCACTATTAGCTGGTGGCTTCCGCGGATAGAGCCCGGCAAAGTTTGTAAATTAAAATAACCTTGACCACTTGACCAACATGTCAAACACTTTAAACAACTTCTGCATAATCTAAAGGCATAGAATTATATTATTTGGCTGGTAGCTTCCTTGGATTGAGCCTGAAAAAGTTTCAAATGAAAATAACTGGGATCTACTTTCAAAGTCACCGGGGTCAAACGTGTCGATCGCTTCAAACAACTTCTTAAGAACAAAAAGTTATAGAATTTTAATATTTGGCTGGTAGCTTCTTGGGGTGGAGCCAACAAAGACTGAGAGAGAAAATGAACTTGATCTACTTTCAAGGGTCAAATGTTTCAAACACTTCAAACGATTTCTTCTGAAGAACTGAAAGGTATAGAATCATAACGTTTGTCTGGTGGTTTTCTAGTTGAGCCGAACAAAATTTGAGTATAAAATTGACCTCAACCCACTTTCAAGGTCACAGGGGTTAAATGTATCAAATACGGTACTTCAAATGACTTTTTCTAAAAACTGGAAAGGTATAGAATCTTAATATTTGGCTGGTAGTTTCTTAAGATTGAGCCTGACAAAGTGTGGGATGAAAATGACCTTGACCTTCTTTCAAGATCACTAGGGTCAACTATGTCAAACACTTCAAACGACTTGTGATGAATAATGGACAGGCCGAGAGTCATGATATTTGGCTGAAAGTTTCATTGGTAAGAGCCTGACAAAGTTTGAGAGTGAAAATGACCTCAACCCACTTTCAAGGTTACAGGGGTTAAATATATCAAATACGGTACGTCAGATGACTTTTTCTAACAAGAGGCCCAATGGGCCTGCATCGCTCACCTGGTATATATCTCACACTTGTAACCTTAAAAGTGATCTAAAATAAAGCTACTGGCAAATTTTTAAAACATTTTACCCCTGAGATTGAAAGTCGAACAAAGTCATTATGTTGAACAAATTTTATAACCTTTCATCTCAGGATGCAACTTGCAAAGTATCAACATCCTGGGACCCATGTTTATTCAGAAGAGGTCGTTTAAAGGTTTTAAACAAATTTGACCCCTGTGACCTTGAATATAAGTCAAAGTCATTCACTTTAACAAACATAGTAGTCCTTGATCCCAGCATGCTACTGACTAAATATCAACATCCTGAGCCTTTTGGTTATTCATCAGAAGTTGTTTAAAGGTTTTTTAAGACAATTGACCCCTGTGACCTTGAATATGGGTGAAGGTCATGCATTTGAACAAACTTGGTAGCCCTTAACCCAAGCATGCTACTGGCCAAATATCATCTCCCTGGGCAGTTTGATTATCGAGAAGATGTTTAAAGTTTTTAACATATTTGACCCCTGTGACCTTGAAAATGGGTGAAGGTAATTAATTTTGACAAACTTTGTAGCCCTTCATCCCAGTTTGCTTCTGGCCAAATATCGACACCCTAGGCCTTTCGGTTATTAAGAAGAAGTTGTTTTAAGTTTTTAACATATTTGACCCCTGTGACCTTGAATATGGGTGAAGGTCATTTATTTGAACCAAGTTTGTAGCCTTTTATCTCAGCATGCTACTGGCCAAATATCATTACCCTGGGCATTTTGGTTATTGAGAAGAAGTTGTTTAAAGTTTTTAACATATTTGACCCCTGTAACCTTGAATATGGGTGAAGGTCATTCATTTGAACAACTTTGTAGCCCTTCATATCAGCATGCTACTGGCAAAATATCATCACCCTGGGCATTTTGGTTATTGAGAAGAAGTTGTCTAAATATTTTTAACATATTTGACCCCAGTGACCTTGAATATGATTCAAGGTCATTCGTTTGAACAAACTTGGTAGCCCTTCATCCCAGCATGTAACTGGCTGTATATCATCACCCTAGGCCTCTTGGTTATTCAGAAGTTGTTTAAAGGTTTTAAACATATTTGATCCCTGTGACCTTGAATATAAATCAAGGTCATTCATTTGAACAAACTTGGTAGCCCTTTATTTCAGCATGTTACTGGCAAAATATAATCACCCCAGGCCTTTTGGTTAATGAGAAGAAGTTGTTTAAAGTAAAAAGTTGACGCCGGACGGACGCCGCACCTTGCCATAAGCTCACTTGGCCCTTCGGGCCAGGTGAGCTAAAAACTGGAAAGGTATAGAATCTTAATATTTGGCTGGTAGTTTCTTAAGATTGAGCCTGACAAAGTTTGGGAATGAAATTGACCTTGACCTTCTTTCAAGATCACTAGGGTCAACTATGTCAAACACTTCAAATGACTTGTGATGAATAATGGACAGGCCGAGAGTCATGATATTTGGCTGAAAGTTTCATTGGTAAGAGCCTGACAAAGTTTGAGAATGAAAATGACCTCAACCTACTTACAAGGTCACAGGGGTCAAAACTGTCAAACGACTTCTTTTGAAGAACTGAAAAGTGACTGGTAACTTCTTTGGATTGAGCACAACAAAGTTTGCGAATGAAAATGATCTTGACCTACTTTCAAGGAATACGAATCCATTCCTTTTAGTTCTCAAGACCAAATCCATTAAAATGTTGTTGACCTCTGTGACCTCTAAAGTAGGTTGAGGTCATTTTCATTTGCAAACTTTGGTGAGCTCTATCCCGGGAAGTCACCAGCCAAATATTATAATTTTATGCCTTTTAATTCTTCAGAAGAAGCTGTTTGAACTGTTTGACATATTTGAACGCTGTGACCTTGAAAGTAGGTCAAGGTCATTTTCATTCGCAAACTTTGTTTGGCTCTTTCCCAGGAAGCCACCTGCCAAATATTAAGATTTTATAACTACCAGTTCTTCAGAAGAAGTCGTTTAAAGTGTT